GTACCTACCTTTAATATTATTTCTACTGATAAGATTAACTGTAATTCTGTAATCATTTGATTTCTAGCCCATATTAAGATGTACTAATTTGCTCAAAAAAGGTGTTGGTTGGTTTTGTTTTTTTAAAAATATCTAGGATCTAGCCACAGGAGAAGGATGAGCAATCTCCTCCTGTGTGGTTTACTGTCTTTGAAACCTGCTGTAGTGTCAGCAGTGGGTCAGTTACAACTCTCTGGTACACAAAATAACAGAATCTAGGTAAAAGTTACTCATTATTTAGTTGTCATTGTCTTTTTGTGTTTGTAAATTTTGAAAGTTTATAGAGAATTTTATTTTTATTGTAATTTGAGCATTTACAAATCATTGGTTTTTCATTCCGTTCTTACACATTTTATTACATTAATTGTAATAATACCCACAATGTAACTAATTGCAATCTCCCCATTTTTTTCCTTTAGAGTTAATTTTCATCAATCCTTCTATTCTACGCCGTCCTGTTTTTAAAGGCTTTATCCTTGGCCAGATTCTGCTTTTTTTACCCTTACGCGATTGGTTATTCTAAGGAGTGAGGACCTCTGGTGGTAGTGTCACCTTATAGATCTGTCTGTTGTCTGGCTGAAAGTTGAGCTGTTGGTGATGTCGAAGGATGACTACTAAGAGTGAAGTCTCAAAAGCAGTTAGTTGTTTATCCATTCATTCATTCATGCAGATTTTGTTCTATGGCATCAGTAGCAATACTATTCTTGTTTCTTCCCTGTGATTCTCGTTTCCCTTCATCTTTCTTTCCTATTTTCTGGCCTTCTGGTCATGTATGATTGATTGTTCTAAGGAATGAGTACCTCTCAAGTGTTCTTGTTCACCTTACCAGCATATCTCTTGTTTGGCCGAAAATTTAGTATCGTTTAGTTCCAAGCCCAAAGGGTCACTAAGGGCCATAATCTTGGATTATGACTAGCTGCTCTTAGAACAGGAGCCTCATAATTTTTGTGATTTTGTGTTTTCATTACCCCATTATTCTGTTGCTGTCTTTTTGTCTCTACTTTTAGAGCAGTCAGCAGTGAGTGCTGTGTAATAATTCTGGCCTCATGATAATGGAAGATTATGCGAATTGATGCCTTTGAGCTGTGGTGCTGGAGAAGAGTATTGAGAGTACCATGGACTACTAGGAAAACAAACAGATTCATCCTGGAGAGGGTTAAACTGGGCTGCTCCTTGGAAGCAAGGATTCTGAGGCTCCGTCTAACATACTTTGGACAGGTGGATTGCTTCAGTGACTCGGGTAATTGGATGGGTGTATCAGAGACAGTGCGATTGGCACAGGACAGAGCAGAGTTTAGGGCTGTTGTACATAGATGAGTCTCAGGTGACTTGACAGCACATAACAACAACAACAATTATTATTCCTTTGGACTAATTGTTTCTCTTCATCTTTCATTTTCTTCATCCTTTGTTCTGGACAGGGAGAGAACCACAGTTGCACTTGGGATTGATGCTGCCAAGCTCTTCAGATTCCAGGTCTTGTTTACCAGAATAGGATGTAGAACTTTGACTTTGTGGACTAGGATATATGCCAGTTCACCTTGATGTCCCCAAAAGGGGTCCTGATGCCCTATAACTAACAACTCATTCCTTCAGGTTGTTTGGTTATTTCTAAATAGTTTACATAAATTTACCATATGTTGGCTCACCATGTACATGGATGTAGCTACAGGATATACACATGTTGTGTGCAGTGACCCAATAATTCGCATGAGAAGAGATTGCTCTCCTTCTCCTGTGGAGCAGCTAGTGGAGTTCAGTTGCATCCCAAGGGATTGCAGCTCAACTCCTTTTTTTAAATTTTAATGAAAGTTTACAGAGACTTTGCATTTCCATTTCTTCATTGTTGCACTTTCCTCCCTTCCCTGCCCCCTCCCCAGTTCGTTTTTCTCTTTGAAAAGTAAAAAAACAAAACAAAACCCAAATAAACTTCATTGTTACACAATCCCCCTAGTCCACTCCACTCTGCAGCTTTCATTCTGTGCTCTTGTCATGACAATAATGCCGAATCATATATTCCTCCTAAACAGTTTTCTCCCTCATCTGTTTCAGTGCAGTATACATTATTTATCCCGTTTCTCCCCAATTCTAATGTCAGTCTTGCTTTACAACAGTGGCACTGTGCAATATTTGTCCTTTTGTGACTGAGCTATCTTACCCAGAATGATGTCTTCCAGCATCACCCATTTTGTATAATATTTCATGATTTACTTGTTTTTCAGTGCAGCATAATATTCCATTGTGTGAATACGCCACAGCTTCTCTATCCATTCGTTTTTGATGGGCACTTAGGTTGTTTCCAGTTTTTTGCTGTTGTGAACAAAGCTGCAATGCACATGAGTGTGCATATATCTGCTGTGGTGGCAGTTTTGGTTTCTTTAGGGTAAATTCCCAGTATTGGAATTGCTGGGTCAAATGGTATTTCTATTTCCAACTTTTTGAGAAAGCGCCATACTGCCTTCCATAGTGGTTGCACCATTTTACCCTCCGCAGCTCTGTTTCTTACCACTAGGCCACCAGAGCTCCCTGAAGATACAAATATGTATCTAGAAACATGTCATTTTCTTTTAAGTCTCGTCTAATGAATAACACCCTTCCTATATTTTAGCTTTTTAAAAAAAAAAACCTGTACATTAATTTTAGAGATCCAACACATTATTATAGAAGATTTCCAACATCTGAATTTGTATGACTGTTTTAAATGCCAAAATTTTGTAAATTTATAATTAGATGTAAATTTAAACTTAAGGTTTGAGTTAGGACTTTTTTATTTAGATACTTATTAGGAGATGCTACAAACTTCATATTGCACATTTAAGGTCTCATCCTTCCATAAAATTAAATAATCTGATCACTAAGTTAAAATAGTACAAACTAAAGATTCCCATTCTTACATTGGACTTCTCTCTTTGCAGTTAGTAATTTGTGCAATAACTTGAAGATTTTGCATACTTTATAAACTAGTGAGAGTTGTTTTTAAATGCTGTTGAGTAGAATACAATCCTATGAACAACCGATCTTAACCCTGTCCTATCTGTGCTGTTCTTATCATCCCTGTCACATGTGAGCCCATTGCCTCAGACACTATCCAACTTATTGGGGTCATCCTCTTTTTTGCTGACCCTCCACCTTTCCTAGCATGAAGTCTCTTTTTAGGGAATAGTCTCTCCTAATATATCCAAAATATGTGAGATGAAATTTCACCATTTTTGCCTCCAAAGAGTGCTCTTGACTACATTTTCTCCAAGTTCTTTTAGTAATCCTTGAGATACTCAACATTTTTTTCTAGCACCACAACTCAAAGGCATCAATTCTTCTCCTGGCAACCTTATTCATTGTCCAGCTCTCAGATGCATAGCAGATGATTGGAAAGCCTGAATGAAGTGCATCTGAGTCTTTAAGCTGACATCTTTGCACCTCAGTCCTTGGGAGAGGTCACCAATATCAGACTTGCAATACATATTTTGATTTTTTTGACTGCTCGTGCCGAGAGTGTGGGTCCTAGTAAGACAGAATCATTGACAATTTCAATCCCATCTATCATGATGGCAGTTTCAGTCTCCATCTGTTAGGATGTTGCTTATCAGCCCAGTGGGGAGGATTTTTGTTGATTTTGAGATGCAGTCTATATTGAAGGCTATAGTTGTTGATCTTTTGTAGCAAGTGTTTCAAATCCTTAATTTTAGCCAGCAAGATGAGTCATCTGCATGATGAAAGTTGATGAGTTTTCCTTCCAATTCTGACCAATCCTGATGCCATACATTTCTTCATAAAGTCTGCCTTCTCCAATTTGTTCAGCTTACAGATTGAATATTTTTTGGACAAAGGATAGAACCTTGATTCCCATCTTTCTTGATTTTTAAAAATTCTTATTAATTTCAATGAACATTTACAGAGATTTTGGATTTCCATTCATTCATTATTGCACTTTTCTCCCTGCCTACCCCTTTCTCCTAATTCACTCCTCTCTTTGAAAAATTCTTTCACTGGTATACAGTCCTCCCCCACCCCCACCCCCATTACACTCCACTATGCAACCTTTATTCTGGACTCTTGTGATAACCATAATACCCTATCATATATATCGCTTTTAAACTGTTCTCTCCCTCATCTGTTTCAATGCAGTATACATAATTTAGCC